GAAGTTCCTAAAAGAGGCGACATAGAAAAGTTGATCAACATAGAATATAGCTAAAAGGATGGCCGACTACATGAGCAAACACGGGAAGTCCTGAACGGAGCGGCATTGTCCTTATTACAAAATGCCCGAGATACAAGGTGGAAAGAAGAAACAAACATAGGGAGGTTAGCACTAACCTTTGGACATGTGATTACGTTTAACTGGCGCAAACCAAATGGAGTGACCGAGCAGCCAGGAAACAGACACAGGCTGAAATCAGCTAGAAGGGAAGAATGGTTATAGCACAGAGGGGAAGACCTTTTTTACATAGAGGAATTGAGCTTGACTGAAGGCAGTTGAGAAGGCACTAGAAAGAAAAGCAATTGGCAGTAGCCTCTATCCCTTGAATTCAAACGTCCAGGACGCCAGTGGCATCTCTTGGTTGCTCTGTTCGTCTCTCTTCTCTTTTTCTCTCAACACTCTCCTAAGAATTCCTACTCTTCCTTTCTTTCTAGAAGTAATTCTATAGGCATCTTATCTCTCTTGATGTGTATCATTTCCTTTACTGAATTTATTTCTCTTTAAAAGTTACACTGAAGCACTCCAGTGAACTGTACCCACGTGTAATCGTGATGTGTTGCTCAAGAGACATGTGAGGGGGGTGGCGCTGAGGAGCGGTGCTCCTGTTGATTCCCATATGGTCCTGCTTCCTATGGAGAAAGCCCACCTGCATTGCCATAAAAGCTTTGAATGGCTTTAGGTATCAGATCCTCGATGACTTGGTTTACATACATTTTTAAAAAGCTTCTTACAGCTAGGTGTTGCTCTGCCTGTTGTGTTAGACTTAATATAACAACAGATGCCGCTTCCTGTGTCAAGAGCCATGCTTAGCATAGCGTTAACTTTCTTGTAACCTACAGTTTAAATTCTTAGCACTCACTGCACTTGGATTCACTTAGTTGAGAATTAATTAAGCAAATGGGGACGGAAGAGAGACACCTCTCCTAATTCTAGAAGGGACTTTGAAAAACTTTGGTTTGGAAGGTATTTTGTATTAGGGGAGAGTATCAATAAGTCGTCAGAGTGGTTTACAGGTGTGTCTACCCAGAGCATTCTGGCTAACAGGCTAGTACATTACCAGGAGTTGTGTTATAAAAATACAAGTTTTGGCCAGGCGGTGGTGGTGCACACCTTTAATCCCAGCACTCGGGAGTTAGAGGCAGGTGGATCTTTGTGAGTTCGGGGCCAGCCTGGTCTACAAGAGCTAGTTCCAAGACAGGCTCCAAAGCTACAGAGAAACCTTCTCTCAAAAAACAAACAAACAAACAAAATACAAGTTTTGATCCTGTCTCAAAAGATTCAGGGATTCAGGGATGGTTCGGGAATCTTTGTTTTTTGACCAAGTTCTTATTCCAATTTACATCCTCTCATTGCTATACTAAGCAAAACAGAAATTTAATAAGCAAACTAAATAAACTAAAGCCTTGAAGGATGACATGGCATAAATAAATATATTAATTTAGCAAACAGGTTCTAGGTATTGCACTGTTTTCTAGGGATTCAAAGATGAAAGGCACATGGCCCCTGCTCTCTCAAGCTCCCGGTGTGAGAGAAGAGGTAGTGGGTGTTCAGTGAGACAGTGCAGACAGTGAGGTGACAGCGATGTAGACAGAGACAGTTACAGAAACATAGAGGAGAACCTAACACGGCTGGGCTTGGGGTATGAGGGAAAGCAAGGTCAGGAGGGGTTTATGGAAGTAGCTAAACTTTTTCATAACAGGTCACTTGCTCCCTATTTAAATAGTTTTTCTTAGAATCTTTCTAAAATATTTCATATATTTCCATGGTTTTTTGTTTGTTTGTTTTTTTTCTTCTTCTTCTTTGGTTTTTCAAGGCAGGGTTTCTCTGTAGCTTTGAAGCCTGTCCTGGAACTAGCTCTTGTAGACTAGGTTGACTTCAAACTCACAGAGATCCGCCTGCCTCTGCCTCTGGAGTACTGGGATTAAAGGTGTGCACCACCACCACCACCACTGCCTTAACCTTTTTTGTTTTGATGATTTGGCATAGTCGTGTGTTATCAGACTTTTTATGTCATATACCAAAACAGCAGTACTTTTTACTGCAATATATAGCATTAATTTCAATTCTCTAAAACAGTGTCCAGTGTTTGTGACTTTGCTGTCATCATGTTATCCTGTTGTTTTCGTCTGTTCCTTATCTTCTTAATGTCAGTGACTATGTATAGAGTACCACACGTACTCAAACGCTTTCCTGGCTTAAGGATTTAGAACTAAGCGGATACAGCAAAATACGAAGCATTCTGTTGAGTTGTGAAGTTTAGTGGATTTTATGAAATCTTTTAAATAATTAAGTTGTCTTTTTATCATTATTATTGCAAAGCCAATAGATGCTTTATAGATACACAAAGCATCTCTTTCATCAGAAGCTCAGCAACACCAAGGCTGGTTCATGGCAGTCCAGAGGTATAAGCCCAGTACCAGAGCAGCTCCATCTATAGAATCAGCAGTTCTTAGGCTGAGCATTACAGCAGAATCGTTTGGAGATTTATATGCTAGGCCTCACCCCCAGAGACCCTGATTCTGCAGCTTGATGGATAGTTTTCTGTTTTGGAGGGGAGCGAAGGAGGACTGCAGTGTGGGAGTCAAAGTCCCACAGCACAGCCAAGGCCAATTTCAAATGCGTAATCCTCCCTCAACCTCTCCAATGCTGAGATCACAGGAGTACAACCCACCTGGCTCTATATATTTATTTCTAAGTTCCTTTGAAAAGGCTCATGTCTACCCTTGAATCGTCATACATCGGATTATTGTATATCAGAATTTGCTCCAAAATAGTTAAATACTTGAATAGTCAAATAGGGAAAAAAAGCCTAGATCATGAGGAATAAAAAGAGAGCTTGACATGTATTGTGACTGAGAAAGCCATTGGACTCACTTGGATTGAACATAATCCCTCTAACTACGTTGTGGAAAATGAATAGGTAAGGGAATGCTTCCTGTAGGGAAACTAAGAGACCATGTTAGATAATTCAGGCAAAGAAGTAAACAGGGCCATCCCCCTAAAGGATAATAGTTGAGGGGTGACCAAAGGGACAGGATTTGCTGACAGAGCAATTGTGGTAGGGAAGGAATCAAAGTTCACTTTAAGGTTTTGACTCCAATATCAAAGATATCTCAACAAAGGGATTGCCTTTTGTCAAGGCTGTGAAAACCGGAAGAGGAATAGGTTTGGGAAGAAAACAAGGATATCTTTTTTTTTTTTTTTTTGGTAAATTAACTCTGCAGTACCTATTAGACATTCTTAGAGGTAGCCTGGTTAATGTGGTAGACTAAAATCCCCAGGATTTATGTAAACTTGTGATTCATCAACATCCATAAAATCATAAGCGTAGACGAAATTGCCGAAGAGCAGGAGTGGACGGAGAAGAAATAGGACAGGACACTCCGGAGCAGCAAGAGCAGGAGAGAAGTAAGGACCACCTAAGTGACCAGCCAGTGAGATGGGAGGAAGGCCAGGGTGGTGTTGTCATGGAGACCGCATGGAGAAAGGCTGCAGAGCCCCGGGGAAGTCAGTGTGGAGCTAACTGGCAACCTTGACCAGAAGTGGTTCAGTAGGAAGATGTTGTGAAGATCATATAGGAAGGAGCTCTAAAGAGATGTGGTTCCAGGGAATCTGATGCCCTTTTCTGGCCTCTGTGGGTACCAGGCATGTACATTCATACATGGAGTCAAAACACTTGGGCACATAAAATAAAAATAAAGAAGCATTTGAGAAAAGGAGGGTGAGGGCCAGTAAGATTGCACAGCGTGTAACTGTGCTTGCTGCCAAGCTGATGGCCTGAGCTGGATCTGTGGTCCACTCCGTGGAAGGAGAAAACTGACTTACACAGCTGTTCTCCGCTGCCACATGTGCACCATACAGGAACACTAAATAGACTAAGTAGATTGTATGTATACACACACATACACACACAGTAACTGAAGTCTTGAATTTGAGAAGTTGCGAGGTCAGAGGGCGAACACAGTAGGACTGGAGAAGAGGAGAGAGAAGGTTGGAAATGTAAACACAGTACTCATACATTGAATTCTCAAAAAATAAAACTTTTACATTTAAAAAATGAGGGAAAACAGAGCTGGAGATAGGTAACGGCTTGAAGGCCTTCCTGTGGGGAGGAGCAGAGGAACAGCATGGTACCTGGCAGAAGGCAAGGCACCTCTGCATGTTGTGGAGAATTATCCAGCCCAGGAGGAAATGCCATGCTCGAGAGTGAGAAGGATGCGTGACTGCGTCTGTGCAGGGGAAATTTTTACTGCACAGAAGATTCAGATTTAGCCCGAGGGGCACAGACAGCCTAAGGTAATAGCAGGAGGAAAGTGATCCTATGGGCATACATTCAAGGAGGTAGAAAAAGCAGTGGAGGAAGTTCTTATTGTTATTATTCTAGCCTAGGAAACCAAGTTAGCTCTATTGAGTCTAGAGAAGAGATACTGGAAATTTCCAAAAGCAGCGAAAGTATGGAATTATTCTCAGGACAGGGAAAGTGGACAGCAGGATTGATGGGTGACTCCAAGGGCACACTTGAATTTGAAGAGGACTCCGACTACTAGGATGTAGTTTTCTGAGCTACACATTCAGGAAACAGAATTCTGGGGGCACAATAAAGGAAGTAGAGGCTCTGGTCAGGATTGGAGTTTTGTAAATGAATGTGGCTAAGAAAGATAGAGAGTGACAGAGGTGGAAGAATGGGTCACAGCTTGTGCTTCGTGGGAAGGCACTAAAGCTTTGAAAGCAGGAAGGGAATAACCAGATGTTCATCTCAAATGTAGGGTCAAATAGGGTGGAAGATTAGAGTTGTCTAGTGAGGGGCAAGCGTGGAAGATAGGAGGTGACGGGCAGAGCCAGAGGGCGGGGTGCTGTAGGGATGGCGTTGCTTTAGGCCAAATGAGGGCGCTCACCAGATTGTGTGGTGGCTCTAATGATGATTTTGATTAATCCATTAGGTGCATGACTACAAAGAAGGAACCCCAGAAGAGAAGACATACTACATAGAATTGTGGGATATTGGAGGCTCTGTGGGCAGTGCCAGCAGCGTGAAAAGTACGAGAGCAGTGTTCTACAACTCTGTAAATGGTAAGTGTCTTCATTTCTGCCATCTGTTAGTGGTCTGGAAGTGCTGATCATTGATATGAAATGCCATGGCATGCTGGGCTTGTCTTCTGTGAGAAAGCTGATGTGCTTAACTCTCGATTTAAATCTGCATGTCACAGTCTAACATATTAGCCTCTGCTGGAGGCATTGTTGCCTTGCTATAGGGGCACTCCATTTTTACTTTTTTATGTAGATGATATATATTACATGTAAATAAAAATATTAAGCTCAGAAGTAGTAGTTTTCCATATGTCTTTTTCCAAAGGCCTTTAATGCTATTTATCCCTCTGCATACTCTTTCCTCAACCCTGCTCTTTCACCCCAAACCAAGTCCAACCCTTCCTGCTCCCTCCTTCCCTTTTAACCCTTGATACCAGTTCATTCTATGTCACCTCCCTTTAAACCCCCTCCCCATCCCTTTAGTAATCCCCCAGCCTCTGTAGGTATTCCAGATGAACTGTATCTGAGAATAAGTACCCTTTCTTTCCTCCCACTCTGATGACCCAGGCTACCCATCTCTGTAGAAAGCCTATGGAGTGTCTCTCCAGCCTCCTTAATTAGAATATATTCTCATCAGATGTCAGTCTGACTCCGTCAGTTGGCCCTAGCACTTCAGCTTAAATGAGAAAAGAAGAGTAGAAAGAGAATGCTCAGACACCCTTAAGAGCGCAAAAGCATTCTGAAGTTTTTGTTTGTAACAAAAAAAAAGTTTTTGTTTCTGTTTTTTTGTTTTGTTTTGTTTTTTGTACATCTAATAGGCAGCCTAGGTGAAAATATCTATTTTTTTATGCTCCTGTGAGATTTTATTACACTTTTCTATAATCTTTTGCTATCAGATTGACTACAAATTCATGTTACCTAAAAAAGTGTGCTCATCTAAACATGACCTGCACAACACCAGTTGGTGAACCAGTGTGGATGGAATATGTTTCCCAAGGCCCTGCCTCCAGGCAAAGAGCTACAGGGCAATTAATGACCACTGAAAGAGAATCTGTCTTCTCAAGGAGAGAATCCACCTTCTCTAGGGATGATCCCCTGAGAGCTTGTTCAAGCTCAGGTGGTCAGCCACGAACACATAAAGAAGCAGCAGTACAAATATACTCAAGCAGGCTGCATTTATAAATACATACATGTGTGACAATAATTAAAGAGGGATATGAATTTACGAGGGAATGGGGGGACACAGGAGAAATCGGAGGGGATATCAGAAAGGGTAAAAATTATGTAAATATTGTACTCATGTATGAAATTTTAAAAAATAAATTTAATTAAAAAAGAAAGAGTATGGCTAGGCAATGGTGGCACATGGCTTTACTCCAGCACTCAGGAGGCAGAGACATCTGTGAGTTCGAGGCCAGCCTGGTCTACAGAGCGAGTTCCAGGACAGGCTCCAAAGCTACACAGAGAAAACCTGTCTTGATAAATAAATGAATAAGTAAATAAGTAGAGTGTGAAAATCTATGGTTCTTGTATCACAAGATGATGTTCTAAATTCCAACAGGCATTGAAATTTCTTCTTTTACCCTGGCTTTTCTGTCCAGGACTTTAGTTGATCTATTTACTTGTATTTCTGAGCCATGTGAAATTTTGTTATTTTCCTCAATCTCAAAAAATCCATATCTTTTCTACTATTCATACTTTTTAAATATTTATTTCTAATATTTAAAATTTTATATAGTTTTTAAATACTTTATATTTATTGATGTTTTGTTTGCATATATATATATATCTGTGTATCATATTCATGCTTGGTGCTTGCAGTGGCCAGGTAGCTCCCCTGGAACTGGAATTACAGACTCTTGTGAGCTGTCATGTGAGTGCTGGGAATTGAACCTGGGTCCTCTGGAGAACAGTCAGTGCTTCAACCACTGAGCCATCTCTCCAGCCCGCATGCATACTTGACTGCGTCCCCTCACTATCTCCTAGTGGCGTGTTTCTTTGCTAATTGAGAAGAGATTGAACATATTCACAGTAGTTTGACTGTAGACTCTTGCTCTTTTCAGTTCATTCTCCCTTCATCCCTGTCCTCCATTTTCATTTTCTTCTCCCCTCATTTGCCTTTTAAGTCAGGGTCTCGCTATGTTGCCTTGGCTGGCCCCAAACTTAAATTCTCCTGCCTCAGTTTACCAAATGCAGGAGTCTAAGCATGTGTCACTACAATGGGCTAACCAAATCTCTTAAAGTAACAAGCTTACATAGCTAGCAATGAATTCAAAGAACAACAAAAATAAATTCTTGAGCGGTTGAAATTCAAAAGAGCTACAGCTCAATATTTTGTTTATTAAAGAATCACAACTGAGGGGCTGGAGGAATGGTTCAGCAGTTAAGAACACCGGCTGCCCTTGGAGAAGCCCCAGCTGATTCCCAGCCGCCACAGGGCAGCTCACAGCTGTCTGTAATCTCAGCTCCAGGAGATACACTGCCCTCTTCTACCTCCACAGGTACCCGCACCTGTGTGTATGCACAGACAGACACACCTACACATAAATAGAAATGGACATTAAGAACAGTAGGCTAGAGATTGAGCTGAAAGTGTGGCACACGTATCTCAGATCTGAGAGGAAAAGGCAGGAGTATGAAGAATTCCAGACCAGACTGGGCTACACAGTGAGCCAAACCAGTATCCTTGGTGTAGTAAAAGCCTGGATTTGTTTTTTAAAAGGAAAAACCGAAGTTATAAAAATTAAAGCGGTGCTATTTTAATACATTTTACCAGTGCAGAAAGAGTACAGTTTTTGAATGAATATAATCTGTTAATAGGCAATGCCCCTCATTGGTGCAGTGCTTCTGTAAGCAGTTCTAGCATGTAGTTGGCACTCAGGGCCTGCTGGATGAGCATATCAAAAGGCATTCTGAATATTTTATGACGTTCTGTTAGCCTTTGAGAAATAAAAAAGAAAACACTTTTAAAAGTATATTAGTAGCAAAGCTTTATAGTTAGTTATTTGGAAATTTTTGTAAAGACCATCTTGAAATGCTTGTCTGCTTTTGTTAGTCATACTTGAATACTAGATCACTGAGCCCCTAAGATTTGTACTTACTGTGTTTGCCCTTGTTGATTGTAAAGGAAGAGATGCTGATGAATGCTGACGTCATTTTACATATTCATTTTAGGTATTATTTTAGTGCATGACTTAACAAATAAGAAGTCATCTCAGAACTTATATCGCTGGTCATTGGAAGTTCTCAATAGAGATTTGGTTCCAACTGGAGTCCTGGTGACAAATGGGTAAGCTAGGAATTACTTTACAATTGGTTTTAAATGTGTTTGCAATCCTGAAAATTCACTTTAAAAAATAAAACTTTGTAAGATGTGTGATTGGCTCTATATTTTAGTCTATACACAGTCTTTCCATTATCTGAATGACATCTTTCATGGCAGTGCGTTTTATTTTGATGAAATCTAGTTACTTAGTTTTCCTACTCTGGATTTTGCTCTTGGTATTAAGAAATGTTTGCTTAATTTCAGATCATACAGATTTTTCTTCTGTGTTTTTTTTTTCTATAGGTCTTATAAATTGGGGTTTATACTAGATTTCTGGCCTGCTTTAATTTTTTTATAATATGTGTGATTTGGGCTTATCAATCTTAAATTTGAATGTCGCTTGTTCCAGCATCGTTTGTTAACAAGAGTATCCTGTCTCCACTGAGTCGCTTTCATCCTTTGACAAAATCAGCTGACCATATTTGTACAGGTCGGCTTCTGTACTTTGTTCTATTGATCTATGTGTCTACTCCCTTTGAAACCTTGAGCCTACGTAAATATTTCCTCCTGAGAGTTCTGACACTGTAGCTCAGTAGAGCCCTTCCCTAGCGCGTGTGAGGCCCCAGGTTCAATCCTTACCACCAGTTTAAAAAATACAACAGCAAGATCGAAAGTCCTAGTGTGTCTTTAAAGTGTATCTCTTGGATCTTGAATCTTCTCTCAGTGATAGCTATAGTGTGAAGAGATGTAAAACTGTTGTTTTGTTTCTCAGAGGGTTATTGTACATATAAAATGGTAGGGTTTGAGGGGAGAGTGCTAGTCATAACTGTCCATAACAAAAATCTCCACCAGGTTTTTACGTAATGATTTTAACATGATTTCAAGATCTAATTTCAATTTGGATGATGTTTTTTTTATGAAAGAAGCAATAAGGAAAACCAAAATCAATCAGGTACAATTTTCTTTTAAAATTAATATTTAGGAGATGAGTCATTGTAAACATTTGTCATTCAGTGAATATAGCTCTTGATAAAACGAAGAACTAAAATGGAAGATGAGCAAGCACGGCACATATACTTACAGGGTAATCTATAGGAGCTTCTATAAGGTCCAGATAGTGGAGAGTGTGTGTCAGAGATGGTATTTGATAGAAAACACAAATCTCCATAAGAGAATCTGTGACTAGAAGAGAAAGAAATAATCCTGAAGGAAAGAACCCCGAAAACCTCATTCTCTAGTCGTTCAAATTTCATTTCAAACCATGTCTCCTAAGTCAGGCTTGTGTAGGGAAGAAGGTGCTGGCTCATGGGCCTTGAACTTGAGCTATTATTGGCTTCGATGCATATAAAACAGATGATATTTATATGAGATGGGCTACATAGTTCAAACAGACTGTGTTCTGCGGTGGAACCATAGCTGAGGCTCTAATGCCATTGTAGGATGGAGAGATGTAGCAACCTTTGCTCCCAGCCCACTTTATATTGCTCAAAAAGAAAGAAAAAGGCTAGGATAGAAGAGAAGCTGTGCTCCAGTGGGTTTTATTGATTGAATTATGCAATATTGATTGTTAAAAAGCAGATTTTGCTGACTGTTGTAAATAGAGCTTATAACATGTCAGAAAGTTAGATCTATTTTGCTTCTAATAGGTGAATAGAATTTCAATTAATTAACAACAATAGACTTTATGTTCCTTTCAATAATGAGAAATATCATTCGTATTGCTACTCAATCCTTTGGGAAAAAGTGGAAATAAAATGAATTATAATAGACCCCCGCCCTTCTATCTCTGAGGGATTCTGATAGTCGATCCTTTGTCCCTCATGGCTGTCATGTTAGGATAATTATTTGCTTCTTTTTTTGCCTTTTACTATTATGTTTAGCATTTCAGCTGTTTTCCCTCCACTCCCATTCTAAGCTGTAGTCTCTTAGGCTCTCTGTCCTCTAGCCTGCAGCTACCCTACTTCTTTGTACTCTGAAAACCACTCATAGGCAGGAATGAATAGGAAAGGTAGAGAATTTGTGCTTGAAGTACCTGCATTGCACGCTAGGCCCCTGGGTTTTCCATACACTGAGCCTCAAATCCACTTTCTGCCTCTACATTGAAAAATTTTGAAGCTGATACCTGTTGAAGACAGAGCGTTGTTGGACAGTTAAATCACATTAGGCTCTCAATGATCCAAATTACTTGTTAGAAAGACATATAGGAACAGATGTTGAGTAGTAAGATGAGTAACTGGAATTTAATAGATGATGAATTGATGGTGAATAAGTACATGGAAGGAATTAGGAGAAAAACTATTTCTAGGTGGTAATGAGCAGGAATTAGTTAATTATCACTGAAATTGTGCAAGCGTCTTGCATTTGACTAGTACACGTCTACATTGGAAAGGTAAATTCCATTCACCTCTTCCTGGTTATTTGTCACAGGGATTATGACCGAGAACAATTTGCTGATAACCAAATCCCACTGTTGGTAATAGGGACCAAACTGGACCAGATTCATGAAACCAAGCGCCATGAAGTTTTGACTAGGACTGCTTTCTTGGCTGAGGACTTCAATGCTGAAGAGATTAATTTGGTATGTGCTTTCACTAATGTGTGTCTGGGTGATAGTCTAGTCAAAGAAGCATCATACTCAAAGCAGAGTCCCCAAACACAGAGCAGATCAGGATCTGCATCAGGATGTCACGTGAGGGTCTCTCTCACTTCGAACTTGCACACTGATCTGTTGGAACCCTCAAGCTATGTGCTGCAAATAGAATCTTTCCTGAGAAAACTTAAAAAGTATACCAAATTCAAGAGTCATATTGATTAAGATAACACTATATGTTAGTTATTGTTTTTGAAAAAACCTCTTAATCCCAGCACTCAGGAGGTAGAGCCAGGTGAATGGGTGTAAGTTCGAGGCCAGGCTAGTTAGTCTACAGAGCGAGTTCCAAGGCAGCCAGGGCTACGCAGAGAAACCCTGTCTCAAAAAAAAAAAAAAAAAAAAAAAAGAAAGAAAGAAAAAGAAATAATCACACAGAAACTGTATTAATTAAATCATTGCTTGGCCCATTACCTCTAGCTTCTTACTGGCTAATTCTTACATCTTAATTTAACCCATCTCCATTAATCTGTGTATCACCACATGGTAATGGCTTACCAGGTAAAGTTCCCACTACATGACTTCTCTCTGACTCTGCCTCCTTTTTCCCAGCATTCAGTTGAGTTTTCCCCACCTACCTAAGTTCTGCCCTATCAACAGGCCAAGGCAGTTTCTTTATTCACCAATGGTATTCATGGCACACAGAGGGAGCTCCCACATCAAGAGGGCAGCTGAATATGGGAGTTAAAAATAGAAAGTCAACAAAAACTCTAAAACCTCCAACTGGGACCACGTGACAACATTAGTGCTAGCCACTGTCTCCTGCCTGAATTTGTTTAAACCTCTGGAGAAGTATGACTCTAACATGCATATATCAGAAGTGAAGTCAGAATTTCCTTTTGTGGATGCAAATGCAAATTGTGCTTGGGTTCTGGTGTACTGTTTCTCATGTGTGTCTGTGTAGCATATAGTCATTTCCACATTCAGATTCATGGTTCAGTTATATTAAATAAGCTACATAGAGCCGTTCTGACTTTCCCTCAGCCATGATCAACGACAGATGACTCTTTCAGCTCCAAAAAAGCATGGAATTTCAGATTTCCTGCTCAGCTTGAATTGTGGGGCCCAGTAGTTAATTTTTATGGGGAAGATGGGAACTTGTTTGTTTGCTATTGGATTTAGGGTTTTTGTTTTGTTTTGGGTTTTTTGTTGTTGTTTTGGTTTGGTTTTAGTTTTGTTTTTTTGTTTTTGTTTTTATTT